ATAGTAAAGGCCACAATACACAGTTAGCTTAGGGAAAATATACCGTCTCGTTATTAAGAAATGTGGACAAAGAAAAGAATTACGTGCCGTTCTTTCAACCACGCTGCATAACAGCAATTTTCGGTAGTAACTTATAATGAAGCTAATCTGTTTCGAACAGGGGGTAGTGACATCAATTAAAAAATAAGGATTTTGAAGCCTGTGGGCAGCTTTAAGTACTCCCGAAGAAAAGGGTCATATTGTGAAGATACAAAGTTCCACATTTTGATGACATCCACTTATTGCTTATTTCTTTTCCTTATTCTCGTATGATGTTTTAATTCTTGTCTATGGCATAACTTGGGCGTAATTAATGGGTACGCTAGTAGTTGCAGATTAGGCGGGGGGGGGGGCAGCTTCAAGAACATTGAGCGCATTCCTCAGACCTCGCAATCGTGTCAGCTTCAACAATAAGAATGGAGGTGCCTCGGGGAATGCAACAAGTAGTAGATACGTGGACATGGGCAGGAGTGTAAAGCGGAGAAAAACAACCGTGTAAGCGAGCCATCAGTGAACTTGGTGTCAGCATTACTTCCACGTTGTCTATTTGCGAACCACTGTCCCAGATGGCATCTAATTGGATCTTGGTTAAATCCGGGCCCCTCCCCCAGCGGCCACTTTACGCGAGTCCAGGATCGTTCGTGCCCAGTTCCTCTGCTCTATCCTTTTCGGGCAGGTTGGCGATGAATGAAAGACGCAAACCGCCCGATGCATTTGGAACAACAACCTGCTCAATAGTTTTCACAATCGACAGACTGGGAATCAGATACTTCCCCCCCCCCAGAGAGATTTAATCCGGGAATATAAAGGAAGTTCACAAAATCTTGGGAACACAGAACATCAAGTGGAAATTGGATGGATTATAATTGTAGTATATAAGCAATACTGTGTGTAACATACTTTGGTTTTTACTCAAAACCGCGTGCTAATTATTATTCATTATTATTATTATTATTATTATTATTATTATTAATTATATATAATAATAATAAATAGTACAAGAGCCTTATATTTCTTTCTTTTCAAACATTATATTTCTCTACAAAGAAAGCAAATGACCACACGAAACGTCAGAAAACCTTCGGGATTCCAGCCGCAGACAAGACAAGATAAAGAAAAGTTTATCAAGAAAGAAAGCAAGAAGTGGAAGAACATAACAACAAAATGGAGATCGTAAGAAATTTTCAGATTATCGAAATTATCGACCAGGGACTTTAAACCAAATGGGAATGTAAGAACGAGAAGACAAAATAATCCACAACAAAAGAAGGATCACGAAAAGATGGGAAGAATTACGAAGAAGTTTATATATATAGGGGTTTACAATAAGTGTATAAAATACTAGTGAAAACGAATAAGAACCTGAAAACGAGGAAATGAATTGGGCGACAAAACAACTGAAAATGGGACGTCCGCCGGCGTAGAATATATATTCCAATCGAACTATTTCAAGATACAGGGAAGAAATGTTGGCGGAACCTAACACAGTTATGCAATGTGATGCTAGAAAAATAAACAAGTGAACAACAGTTGCAACACACTATAATTATTCATTACGAAGATTAGGAGCGCAGCGAGATTGTGCAAAAAAACACAATTGTGTGAATACAAGTGTGATTCAGTCAATCGGCAAAAGTCATCCCTCGGAAAAATAAATAAAAGGATTTTAAAAATTTTTGTTACTGTAAGCATATACTTTAAGATTTTTCAAAAAATAATAACACTGAAAAGAAACCTCATTTTCTATCTGCTCTGGAATGTTTTGTTTGTAGATTGGAATGTGCGTAAGGCGTTAAGAGTAAAAGCATATACTTAAGATCATCTCCACAGAATAAAAATTTCCTTCGTTTTTAAACTCGTTTGAAATGTTCCATATTATTTATATCATTGTGTCCGATATGACACGAAAGAGCACGTCCAACGGGTTTTGCAATGATGGAATTTTCTACAGATAACTTTTTTAAGAAAATCCACTTTTTATAAAACAAAGAAAATGGAAGGAAAAACAATCTCCAAATGCAAGCAAACGTCTAGGAGTTATCCAATTGCATCATTACCCTTTATTCATTTAACGTAGTCTGTACGAAATGACTCACCAGGAATTATTTATTCCTCAAAATTATCAAATATAACAAATTTATTTTTATATCAAAATAACTTACCCAAGTACGCTGGATACAGTCATGATTCATACTTTCTTAGTTCGATGCTTGTTAACGGCGTTTTGGAGTCAGGGTACAGCTCGCCAGACCGCTATTTACCACTATTTTAAAAATTTGAAGTCGTAGGCTCCTCGCCAGAGTCGTGTACATGATCTTGGCTGTCCGGGTGACGCCGGCTCGAAGATTGTTTTGCCTACGTTTCGAATTTGTCGTGGTCGTACCATGTCCATACCATCAGATATATGGCATACCACCTGAGGAAGACCACGACAAAATGGTCCGAAACGTCGGCAAAACAGCCTTTTGACCACGTCAACCGGACAGCCATAATAATGCATTTTTTTAAAATTTGTCCAGAAGTACGAAAACATTTTTAAATTAGTTTCGACTATTTTACTTGGGAAAAGAGATTCACCAGATGAACTCTTTAAAGCAGAAAAACGTCGTTTTGAGATCAAAAATCGAGTTGTAGGATAAAAAGAACTCGTGCGTATACTCCGCTCATTTTTTCGGTATTTGGTAACGGAAGATCTTAGACCAAGGTGGATGATAACAGAAGACTTAGAAGTAAAATATATCTAAAATAAGATGTGAGGAGATGGAATAATGCGATTATTTACACAATTAGTACCTTTTTTAAAAACTAGTTAAAAGTCGGAATCAAATATTTTGAGTAATGCATCAAAAATTTTAAAATGTATTCGAAGTAAGACGGAATATGTGAAAAAGGTAGTTATGTACTACTATTACAGACCGTTTATTACCTCGTCTGTAATAGTAGTATAGAATTCCTAGTTTGATATCGTGGAAATAATATTGAGATGCAAAGTGACGAACGCATAAACCGAGTGTGTGACTTGCGTGTAGCAAGTCGATCAAGTGAGGGATCGACCCAGCAAGTCGATCACGTACAGGAACGACCTAGCAAGTAGATCACGTACAGGAACGACCTAGCAAGTAGATCAAGTAGAGGATCGACCTAGCAAGTCGATCATGTGGGAAATCGACCCAGCAAGTCGATTAAATGAGGAATCTACCCAGCAAATCAATCAAGTGGGGGATCTACCCGGCAAACCGATCAACTGACGGATTCGTCCAACAAGTCGATCTCACTTTATGTCAGAGTATTTACATCTTTTGATTTTTGTGACCATTTTGCCAGTCTTTCCGTCAGTCCGTCCGTCTATCCGTGAGTCCGTCCGCCAGTCAACTCCGTCCGTCTGTCAGTCACTCCTGTGTGTGCACCAATTCCTTTTCATCTTTAGATAGATTATATAAACTTTCTTTTATTTCGTTTCTCATTCACTTTACCTTATGGTAACTATATCATGTAGTCACCTAAGATTATTTATAGCTACCCAACAGGTCTCACTGCTGTTCATCTTTTTGCCATTCTGAAGATAACATGCTGGAAAAATGTGCGGCAATTCCTAAACGACCGAAACGTGATTGCGTGATATTTATGAACTTTCATACAAAAATAATTTTGATCCTAAAAGATAAGATAATTTACAAAGTCTGTTTATTAATGACATCAAATCCACAAAGGATATTATTTAAACATTTCAAATACGAAGACCAACGTTTGGCATTTACGGAAAAACATTATACGCACTCTCTTGGAAAAGTAGGCAGGTGGCCAGTTGGTCATTCTAAAAATTTTTTTAAAATAACATAACCTGTTTAACAGGAAGCTGCTGTAATTGGTATTTTCCATGGTTTCTCCGATTAATACCAGGTGAATGTCAGAACTGTGCCCTACGAAGCGGGCCGAGGACACTCCGCGATCTTCCCTTCCTCTTCCTTAACCTATCCTCACCCCTTATTTATACACACTTATCACATACTGCGGCGTGGTGGCAAATCTTTCAGGAAGCGTACAGCCCATGTAAACATGACTTGTCTTGGAATCTAGCGAAACGCCTCCATAGATCTCTCATGGCCGCAGGCAGCATTGTTTTCTTGCTACTTTTGTCTCTATTGGATATTAGTAATATAGACAGTCAATTCGATTGTGTGCTTTTTAATCTGATACATTGCAGTCCAGTGTTCGACACGAAACATTAACATTGCTCCACCTCATCTCATACTATCTTAATTTTAGCAGCATATGCAATGCATTTTCAACTGGATCGCAATACTGCATCGTATTACTCCAAGTCTGTTCCCCCCGCTACAATATGTCAACGCAGAAAATATCCACCAAAAAAAAAGTTGTACGCTCACCTCGGCATTTCTCTTAAAATGAATCTGGAACATTAGGAGCAACTTTGGCGAATATAGTTTCGAACTCAACAAGAGCTATTGTTTAATCAAAACTCGATTCACTCTACCAACTTTCACTTATGTGAAATAAACGCAAACATTTCAATAATAATTTTGTAATAATAATAATAATAATAATAATAATAACAATTATTATTATTATTATTATTACTATTAAGAAGAGTGAATAAAAGATGTGGAGGAGGACATCAGAGAGCTCACTTAACAATAAATGATGCAGAAGATAGAAAAAAATTCAGGAACTCTATAAAAAAACATTCATTTGACACCACAACACAGGAAAAGCCAGGGTGTAAATGGACGGTGGAGGGAAAGAAACAACACAATGAACACATGAAGAAAATTTGGGCAAAGAGAAAACAATCCTCATAAAGGCATTCAAGTTCATAATCCTCATAGAGGCATTCAACGATTTTTAATGGGAGTAATCGAAAATAATAATAATAATAAGAAGAAGAAGAAGAAGAAGAAGAAGCAGAAGAAGAAGAAGAAGCAGAAGAAGCAAACACTTACGCCGTGATTGGTCGGCACCGGATGGTCCAACTCCAAAAGGGGGCCGGCCACCCGCTGCATCGAGGCAGAGCCTGCTAACCTATGGCTCGCTAGTAACATTATAAGACATGCAGCACCGATCAGGAGTGCACGGCAGGCGCTCAGTCGTCGTGTCATCGTCCTGGGAACAAAAAAAAAGAAAATTGTGTTACAGTAACACTAGAAATATCATGCTGAACGACAACATACTAGTGGGGCTACATCAGCACATATATTCTCGCATTTTTTGCAACGGATCTGCAATAGTCTACTATTACAAAAACCTGCAACAGAGTTTTCAACCAGCAATTTTTTTCTGCTTCGAGACTCAAACTGAAGTAAACCGAGGTAACTCACCTGCGTAAGAGGTAGCGAGAAAGTGAAGAATGAAAATGAAGACAGACGTGTTGAATCGGAAAGAAATTGCGATATAAATAATATTATGTAACCGTTATTAAGGGCAAGAAACCATGTGCTGTTTTAGCAGCACTAGTTTTTTATACACTGCATTAATTTCAAGTACAAATTTAAAAAAAAAGCTACTAATTTTTTCAAAACATTGTACATGTTTTCTAAATGCTAATTTTTAAATGTTAACATTTTGCAATTTTCGACAATACACCACCATGGTGCCAGTCGTTTCCGGAGAGTTCATCGGAAATGAGACTGGCACCACATATTATTACCGTCCTACATACGAGGGGAAAAATAAAGGAAAAGTTGAAACCTTTCCGAAAAAAAATAATTTAATAAATTAAAAACTGCCTCTATTTTACACAAAATTATGCGACAACAACTCATATTTTCGAAACATTCTACATGCTTTTCCTTCAATTTTCGTCTTTAAGGAACATATTTCATTAAGGGGAAAATCTTTATCTTCAATATTGTAATTGCAGGAAAACGCATACAAAAATCTAAATATATACAATTTTCGAAAAATAATGGATTTTAATGAATATATGCTAGTACCATTTCTTAAGAGACTTTTAGTCTATCCGAAGACAATGTTCATTGAAAAAAGTTGGAACCATTTTTGAGAAAATTTTGAGGCTTCATGTACAGTAACCCACCAATCAAAATATCCGTTTCAAACTCAATGGACGAATATTTCAAGCATTTAGCTTTATTAATATTTCGTCATCCTAGTGCAATGAGGAGAATATGTTCATGTGGTTTAGAACCTCAAATAGAACAAAGTGATAACAATATTTTAAAGGCTACAAGAAACAAATATATGGATATTTTAAGTGATAGCGTTAAATTAGCGACTCTCATAATATATGAGATACATTTAAAGTCAGTGATGTATTTTAAAGCAGATAATACAGGGAGAACTGACATCATGCTCCTACATTCATGATACCAACCATAATTGCAGATACGAAAGAGAGAGTATAGATAGTGCCCGTTCATGAAATGTGTGCCCAGGACTTGCAAAATATTTTGAGAAAAATATGTTGGGAATAGAACAAGTAAGATTTCATTTACTGCGCATTGTTAGTGATAACAGTATTAATAAAGTGCATGCTTTCTTCCGCTGAAAACAACTTAAATTTATGTACAGTCTTCCTGCTGAAGAAAGTAGGCCTCTTTTTTTCTTATTAATATGTAATTTATTATATATTTTCGTCCGGTAGCTTCTTGAATGGCTGCTCAGACCTTGTAGTATGACTAGGTGGTGTTCCCCAGCCGGGTATGACCCCTCGGGATGTGAGACATGCAAGTGTGTGTCTGAGAAAGGGGTGACGATAGGGCAACGGGGAGAATAGAAGGAGCGGGCGTGGGTGGTGGACCGTTTGTTAGAGCACTGCTCCCGCATTCACAGCGTCTTGTCCACTCGAGAAAAAACAACAAAACTTAATTGCCTTCTTTTCGCGCACAAATTAAGCGAGAGTAATTCGTATTACTTTCTTGCTACTCCTTACGTAGTGTAGAGAAAGTAATGCTGCGGGGGGGACGGCAAAATTCGACTGAAAAACTGTTGTTTTCCGTGCATTGGTGGCGAATAAATCGTGTCCTATATATAGTAAATTACTTCCTCTAACACTTCGTGGAGTCAGAATCCAGGTTTCCTGGATTCTTGATACCTAAAAACCGATTGACGGCAGAACATGAAACCTTTGGAACATTTCCACATTTTCAACAAATGGGGTACTATTTTTTTTATTAAATTTTGTTTTGGATCATGTGAATTATGTTTCAGAGAATGGTACGTGTCTTATTTTCGTCGAAATCTCTGATGTTTTGAAAATTGCAAACGTTCAATTTTTTCGGGGTCTTACTACAAGTAAAATATTGAAGAAAGAGATTTATTCCATTATTGAAATCTGATCTCTAAAGACAGGACATCATATAAGGTCATATACTTCGAGTTTGGCGGATAAACAGCTCATTAGTCAATTTTTGTGAATCAAGAACCCAAAAAATGTATTACACGTATAGACCGTACTAAAGAAAGTAATTTTCTATTGCCAGAACAATATTTACCTACTTTCCGGTGCCAGATTCCTTCAATACGAGTTTTTCTGGCAAACAATGTCTAGCAACACAATACTTTCCGTACAAAATAAGTAGTATGTGAGAAAAAAGGGTACATCTCACATACTACTGTAGCTACAACGTGCTTCCACGCTAAAACATATTACTAGCGTTGTAATGAACACCTACCTTTCTTGTCACAGTTTCGTTCATATGTGCACAGTGCAGGCATGCATTGCAAAAACGACATAGTTATCATCTTTCAGACACGAAGTCCCTATTAAGACAACCATGATTACTGTAGTAGTTCGTCGTAAAAAAGCGATAGTCTTTGCCTTCTCAGTTAACTGTCGTGGCAAGTTACACAGAGTAAGGTCAAAGCATTGCGCATGCTCTTCAAGAGAAAGAGGACGCTTTCGAAGAGCGTCTTTAAATCGTTGCTTTGCAACTACATAACTAATATATCACACAATTATTGTTTCCACCCCCTGCGTGTATTTGAATTTGTTCCACGCTTAATTCCTACACAATTTACTCTGTAAGCGAAATGTCATTTATTAACTTTGCTTAATTGAATGTCGCATTACCTCCATTTCGATCTTACTGAATAATATAAATTATTTCAAGTACTTGTTTTCACAGCACGTACTTTCTCATATCAGTAATGGTCACGTAAAATTATGATATCCTAATTTCTGATCATATTACATCTCAGATATCACTAGTAAAACACGTTACCAATAGTAGCACAGTAGGAGTGAATAAATTATTAGTTTGAAAGTAATACTTTAACACGTTCTAAAACTCCGTTGCATGAGCTGAAAAACACCACTTAACAATGAGAAGTAAATCCGAGAATTTCACACTGCTCGCGTCTTTCAATTGCTGCATTTGCAACGTGATAACTCCTGAAACATTCTAGGAAAAGAGGAGTTCGAAAATCTGATTTGAAAATTCAAAAACTTTTGAAATTTAGATAGTTGAACGAAAATGCCCTTTTCTAACACATCCAGGACGTAGACGCAGCAATGTTTTTCCACCGCAGGTCCCAAACCAACAGACCTACAAGCAACCTACACTTTTATATGAAGTTTCAACTTTTATGTTTACATTAATTGTCGAAAATATGTTTAATATAAAGAACCCAAATTAAGTTCAAACGAAAACGTTGGATATTCGTTAAACGTTGGGGGACGCAGCGAAATGCACTCGTCTGCTGTCACGATGCCAACAGGCGAACATGTAATGCCGTTCTGCACCACGCTACTACCAACTTAGGGAAACTTACACATATTTGTATTCACATGAAAAGAAACTGACCTACATAACCTTGTAATATACTCTAACGCAAACATGAAGGTAATTCTTCTCTAACCTAAAGCAAACATGAAGGAAAATATTACAGGGTGTTAACAAAACAGAGGTAAAATAAATAAAAACAATTTAGAAAAACCACAAGCATGCAACCAGAAGCAGGAATGGATCGCAATCCTTTCGTCACAATATTCCACGAGGTGCTGTCCGCATCGTTTTGCCGCAACCGCCGCTGAGGCGATTGGCTTAAGAAGCACCGCTGGCTTTGCGTGGGGGCTGGGCCTGCACTTTCCACTGGTTCCACCAAACTCAGCCGGCAGGGGAATACAATTATGCTGGGTTAGACCATGGTAGCTCCTCCACACATCCTAACGTCACGCAGAAATGATGGTCACTTAGCGACAGTCCTGTGCATTTTTTGCCTTCGTCAGTACACCGTATCACCAACTCTTCGGAAGTATATTTGTTAGCATAGACCGTCCATAATTCATAGAGCTTATCCGACAGTTTATTTAACATTTGATAAACTCATCCGGTGCATGTTCTGGATCACCTTGGAAAGACAAACAACACTGCGCACTACTAATACCTACTTAGATTACGAAGGTTGGCAGAACGAACCGTCATATGTTGTGATGGCAAACCTATACTGAAATATGAAGAACAAAATTCGCCATCACCCAATAGGTAAAGAACAGTCAAAACTTAAATTAAATTTAATTAAAGTTAATTTTAATTAAATTCTTACAAATTCTGTTAATGCTTGAACAGTATTAACATTACATGGGTGTCTAAATTAGCACTTTGTGTCGCACAGCGAAATTAAGTGTGTGGGAGTTTTTCACGCCTGTCAGGAACAAGGAAATTGATATTACAGTAAAATCAGATTATATATCAGTACTTTTAAATGTAATATACAGTGCTTGAGGAGGAAACATAGAAACTTCGAAAATAATCTCTTAGGACAATATTAAGCATATTTTGTCTAATAAACTCTTTGGATATTCAGAATGGCTTCGCCGCAATCGGCACTCAAAAGTTAGTTTGCAAAAATATTTTTTATGCAAACATTTTCAATCCAGAAACCTATAAAAACGCCAGAACACGTAAATTGTTTATTATTCACAAAATAAAATAAGGTCAGAAAGAAAATGGATCAAAAAGGAAGCACCTATTGGAATATTTTTAGATCTTTGAAAAGCTTTTGACGTCACTGATCATAACATTTTACACTCAAAATTACCATCGTATGGAATTCGTTGCACAACTGTTTCTATACAATTAGAGACTATACCGAACATCCAAAAGGATAGTAATAATAATTTTAACAATGACATTTAATGCATT